AAGGGTATTTCACCTAAAAATGAAAATAATGCCATCATTTAATCATTACTTTACCCTTTTTTGTTCTGTGGAACACAAAAGAAGATATTCTGAAGAATGTTGACAAACTTTAACAATTGACTTTCATAATATTTGTTTTTCATACTATGGATGTCAATGGTTACAGGTTTCTGGCACACCACCTTAAACTGGTTTGAAACAAGTGGAGGATAAGTAAAGAAAGATCTGTAATTTTTGTGTTTGAGGTCAGTTTAGCGTTCACAGTTTTACACTGCAAAAAATGTATTGTCAATTTGACTCAAAGTAAGATATCTAATTTTTTTTATTCAAGTATTTTTTATTGTTTTCTTTTGGTTCATGACAAGATAATACAAACACATATTACAAGTGATCACTTGTGGCTTGCTAAATGTAAAGCCTGAATGTAGTGGTTACAATGGACGAAAGTACAATATTATTAAAAGAACTTGGTGAGTAGTTTTAAATTGTGTTACAAGACATCGTCACATAAGACTAAAAGTCTTCCCACACTGGGATACATACAGGGACCCCTGCATTGTCCTTATTATGTAATTTGCAAAGTAAACGTTCATATGGAGCTGTTTTAGTCATAATATTGGCCCATTCTTTTAACTCTGGAATTTTGGGAGTTTTCCAGTGTTTTAAGGTTACTCTAGCTATCACTGAGATCCCCACCAAGATGACTGTGAACTCTCCTTTCTATCTCCCAGTAAGCATAACCTTGGTGACAGTGGTATTATTGTTTCAAGCCATTTACTCAGAATATTTAGTGTTTGGTCCCAAAAAGGCTGAACTAGTGAACAGTCTCAAAAACAATGAATAAATATACCTCTCTCTTTTTGACGTTTCCAACAAACATTATTATTTAAGTTATCTTACTTTAAAAATTTCTAAGAAAAATAAAACATATTTGGAGATTTTTTTTACTTACCTTAGCCTCATACCTAATATATAAACATCAAAGAACAATTTAACTTGCTGAATAAATGGACTTGATTTCATGTCTATAATGCTTCCTTATGTTCCCTTTGTTTCCATCACGCTCAATATCAGCCCCTATACACTCGATCACTATTCCCTATTAGGCCACTCGAACAAGTGAATGAGGGCGAGGCAGTGGCGCAGTATGTAGTGCTGTCGCCTCACAGCAAGAAGGTCGCTGGGTCGCAGGATCGAACATTGGCTCAGTTGACGTTTCTGTGTGGAGTTTGCATGTTCTCCCTAGAGCTAAATTAGTAGGCTAAATTGTCCGTAGTGTAAGAGTGTGTGTGTGTGAATGTGTGTGTGGATGTTTCCCAGAGATGAGTTGGGGCTGGAAGGGCATCGGCTGTGTAAAAATTTGCTGGATAAGTTGGCGGTTCATTCCGCTGTGGCGACTCCGGATTAATAAAGGGACTAAGCCGACAAGAAAATGAATGAATGAATGAATGAACAAGTGAATGAAAACTACTGGGTGATTTCTGATTGTGTCACTTTTGTGTAGGTTGTACTTGCTGTTTAATAATCATTAGAAACTTAGTGAGCTAGAAGTTCGCAGTAACTAGTAAATGTAAATGTATCTTTAATATATCAATTAATTAAAAAGAAAATACTCCCTGTATGATATTACGTTGGACTGGCTGTATGGATTTTGGAAAACTATGCTGAATTAATTCAACATGACCCTCGCCGTTCATTTAAGCGTAATCTCAAAACGTGCATTGGTTGTACACTTGTTTATGTGATGCGTTGTGGGATTGAATGAGTGAACACAATAACATCCACATATACAGGGTGAAGGAATTGTAATAGGCAATATTTAATGACTATAGAATTTGCAGTATCACTGGAGTCATAATCAAAACAGATGATAGTAAATAGGATTTCATGTTTCTTGCTTCAGTAGCACAGGCATTGGCCATGAATAGCATAATTAGAAATATTAACCTTATTTCCAATTTTTAAGCTAGTTATTTTTCTCCCATCGACAGTTTCAGACACTACTAAAAATGTCTGCCACCACAAATAGGACTATATTTAAGGAAACCTGTGTTTTATGTTTTGCTGTGTTTACTTGTCTTCTTGCCACTCATTTTGTTTCCATGGTAACTGACTATGTGTCACACCTGGGTCTAATTGAGTTACTTGTCTCTTTAATTTAATGCTTTTAAATTAAACTTTAATTGCATTTAATGTTTTGTTCTTTGACTTGATTATATTGGGTTGCATTGATTTTTCTGTGATCTCTGCGACATAGTGTTCTTTTAGTTTGGGTCTGATTAGGTAAAGATTGACTGCTGTGACAGATTCTGCAATACTGCAGCCATATAGTACTCGTGACTTGCAGGAAATGCAGGAAATTTTTTAATACAAGTTCTGTGAAAACCTTTCTTTCTTAATTGCACATTAGTGAGTTTCATGAACTCATTCTTATCAATACACACATGACGGTTTGCCAAGGATTTAGATCAAAGGCATGTTGTAAATAATGTCCAGTTAATTTCACAGAGAGATTGTTTTGCTATATAAGGCCTTAATGTATTGTGAGTAGGTGACGCAGTGGTGCAGTAGGTAGTGCTGTCGCCTCATAGCAAGAAGGTCACTGGTTTGAGCCTCGGCTGGGTCAGTTGGTGTTTCTGTGTGGAGTTTGCATGTTCTCCCTGTGTTCATGTGGGTTTCCTCCGGGTGCTCCGGTTTCCCCCACAGTCCAAACTCATGCGGTACAGGTGAATTGGGTAGGCTAAATTGTCCGTAGTTTTTGAGTGTGAATGAGTGTGTATGAATGTTTCCCAGGGATGGGTTGCAGCTGGAAGGGCATCCACTGCGTGAAAAATATGAGGATAAGTTGCCGGTTGATTCCGTTGTGGCGACCCCGGATTAATAAAGGGACTAAGCCATAAAGAAAATGAATGAGTGAATGAATTGTCAGTAGTCATAAGTATTAATTTAGTTTTGCCTCTATCTGTTGATTTGACTTTCTAAGGATCTTCTTTAATATTCTACAGAAAAATAATCATCTAAGATAGCTTGAGGGAGTACTTTAACAGCATGTTTTCATTTTTGGGTGAACTGTCTCTTTAAGCTTGATGAAATCCCTTCCCACAAGCAACCCGGAAATTTCACCTACACCCATGTCTAAGTTAAATCAATCTTCATGTCACAAGCCATGATAATTGGCTTTCTGCATTGGTAACCTTCTTATGTCCATCAATCATTCGTTTCCACCAATGTTTCCTTCTTTTGGCCTAACCATGAAAGTTCGAAGCACAGCAATTTCACATCTTCACCTCTGGTATTTTATATTGAAATGTCTTTTTTGAAATATAAGTTAAATACAGAGACTGTACACATGACTGTAGCACTCTTTATGCCTTACTTTGATCGATACTTTGCCATGGATAAATCAGAACATAGAGTACATGTATCCACTCAAAGAGAACGTAATGGCTTCTGATTTACGAGGAAAAAGCTTCTTTAAATCACACATCTTAAGTGCTTTACTTAATTTTATAGAATGAACCTGAAAATGGAATTACATTAATGGTCTACTATATATCAAACATACAGTAAGTCATTTTTGAAATTCCAGTATGTGGGCACAGGATAGAGAATAGATCTTGCAATATTTAAATCAACCACAAGCACTATTCTGCATCAGCAGTGGGGTTGGTTTATGTACCGCCACATTTAGTTTCTAATAAACACTCAAACACAAATATATTTGTTATTATACGTTCATTCATTCATTCATTCATTTTTTTGGCGCATTACCTTTATTAATCAGGGGTTGCCACAGTGGAATGAACCACCAACTTATCCTGCATGTGTTTTATGCAGCGGATGCCCTTCCAGCCACCTCAGCACTGAAACACACACACACACACACACACACACACACACACACACACACACACACTCACACATACACACACACACACACACACACACACACACACACACACACACACACACACACACACACACACACACACACTCATACACTACCAATTTAGTTTATTCAATTCATCTATAGTACATGTCTTTGGACTAAGGGGGAAACCGGAGCACCCAGAGGAAACCCACACGAACACAGGGAGAACATGCAAACTCCACACAGAAATACCAACTGACCCAGCTGAGGCTCGAACTCTTGCTGTGCGGCGACAGCACTACCCACTGTGCCACTGTGTCACCATTTTTGTTCATTTTAATTAATAGTAATAATCCAGGACTGGGTTGTGGCTGATAGGTCATCAACTGCATAAAACAAATGGGGACACACCAAGTGTACGAAATAGTTGGCGGTTCATTCTGCTGTGGTGACTCCTGATCTATAAGGGACCAAGCCGAATGAAAACTTAAAAACGAATGAATAAATTGCAAATGTAATGTCTTGCATTTAGTCTAGTAAAACTGTTTCACTGCTAATATGTACCTCTAAGTTAATTATATATTCAGAAATGAAACTGTAAGTCATGCATTATTCAAACTCGAAGTAAAACTATTATTGCAAAAATCTGAAAAAGTGGTCAAGTATTAACCTGCGTCCATGTGAATGAAATCAGCAGGTGTCTGCATAACTTCCCTTAATAAAATCTCCAGCAGCTTAAATGCTAATGTTAAGACTCACATATTTAAATTACATGAATTCCTTAAGTGCAGTCATCTAAATAAAAATTTTGGAAAAAGTTGACTTGTACATCACTATGGCAACAACTTTCTTATAAATAGCATTAAAATGTGTCCTGAACAAACTGACATTTCAGCCTTATAGAAAAAAACTCAAAGGCATTGTTCTTTTAAAAGCAACTGCTTTGACTAATGCACTTATACTTATCAAAGTGCAAGGAAAGAGTGCTTTATCATTATTTTTTTATATCTGTGCAAAAACGCCTGCAAAGTGCTTCGTTTTAGTTCTTTGTTTATTGTATTTTTATTAAAATTATTTTTAATTAAGCATTTGCTCTTTTGTACCTCTGCGACAAGCAGCTCGTATTAATTAGTTTGCACTTAGTTAGACTTGTTGTATTTCCCGATGGACAATACACGATGGGAATGATCTGTGAGAGACTGATGGAGAGTCTGTCTTACATCACATGATCATAAAATCTAGCGCGTAAAAGCGCAGCGCTCTGCCATTTACCTCCAACTGTCCGTTTCTATAGAGCAGAGAGGAAGACCCTAGACCTGCCAGGTACGATGAATCCTCAACATTTGTACTTTTTTGTTGATTTCAATCATTTGCTAATGATATAATCCGATAATGACCCATATAATTAGGCTTCGCTAGAAATCCTATGAGTTTGCACTTTTATTTAATCTAAAATAGATAGGTATAACTGTAATTTAAGTAAGTACATAATTAAGAGTGTATTTATTTAATCATTAAATAAATACACTTTAAATTATGTACTTACTTACATTTTAATGAGCAAACAAAAATATTGGATTTTGTGTAAAAACGCAGTAATGCATGCACTTTTCCATGTAATAAACTTTCATTTTTATCATTTTAAAAAGGCTATTATGGATTTCAAAGACACGATGGACAATGCAACAATGCAATCTTCATGCAACCTGGCCAGTCCGGTTTATAATCAGTCCAACTGCACCGTGTCTCCACCTTGGATGTTCCACCCAGATCTCTACATCTGGCTACCCGTGATTTACTCAATCATCTGCGCCGTGGGACTCACGGGCAACAGCGCCGTCATTTACGTGATCCTGAAGGCGCCTAAGATGAAAACAGTCACCAATTTATTCATTCTGAATTTGGCCATCGCCGACGACCTTTTCACACTAGTGCTGCCCATCAACATCGCCGAGCACCTGTTAAACTACTGGCCGTTTGGGGAGATTTTATGCAAAGTGATTTTGTCCATAGACCACTACAACATCTTCTCCAGCATCTTCTTCTTGACCGTGATGAGTGTGGACCGGTATCTGGTCGTGGTGTCCACTCTAGGATCCAAACGGATGCCCTACCGGACCTACCGGTTGGCCAAGACGGTCAGTCTGAGTGTTTGGGCTCTGGTCATTCTCGTAGTGATGCCCTTCACCGTTTTCGCCAGTGTTTACGTGAGTCCCGATGACGCGGAGAGCCGAAAGAGCTGCGTTTTGAGTTTCCCGAGTCCGGAGAGTTTCTGGTTCAAAGCCAGCCGGATTTACACGCTGGTCCTCGGGTTTGTCATCCCCGTCTCCACCATCTGCATCCTCTACACCGTGATGCTCTTCAGACTGAGACGGACGCGCCTCAGCTCAAACGGAAAGGCTCTGGACAAAGCCAAAAAGCGAGTCACTGTGATGGTCTTCATCGTGCTCGCCGTTTGCTTGTTCTGCTGGACTCCTTTTCATCTGAGCACGGTGGTCGCCCTCACTTCAGACTTGCCCACCACCCCGCTGGTTATAGGTATCTCTTATTTTATCACGGGACTGAGTTACGCCAACTCGTGTCTCAATCCGTTTCTTTACGCGTTCTTAGACGACAGTTTCAGGAGGGCGTTTAAAAAACTGTTGGAGTGCTGAAACCTTTTAAACTCTATCAAAGTCGATTGATAGACGTGTTGTTTGTACCTTAGTCAAAACGCACTTTAAAAGTCACTTTAAAACAATTACTTTTTTTATTAGCTTAGACTTTGGGAGGACTTTGATTTTAGCACACTTAATTTTTCTGTTTGAGTGTTTGTTTATTTTTTTGTTTAGTATATAATCAAGACATGTATAAACTTGTTTAAATAGTAAATATTTATGTACACGAATAGTTATGCGTAAATATATTATATCAACCTATATATGTCCTGTACTAATGTTTTAAAAATGTTTAGACCTGCTACAGTTTTAAAACGGTCGCATAAAATGCTGATGCCTGTCCTTGTGTTTAATGTTGGTGATAAATAAATGTGTATAAAAAGACATTTTTATAAGTTACTAAAAAAATTTTAATGAAATGGAAATAATTAGAAATGGCATGCTCCTTCCCTTTTGGTTCTGTTTTTACAAGCGAACAAGTTAAACGTTTTTTGTTCAGTAATATCAAACTATCACCAGAAGAGGGCAGAATAATATCATGTTGTAATAGAATTAACTCTAATCAGATGTTAACCCATTCAGTTAATTATGAAGATACTTCAAGACATGCATGTACCCAAATACTTTTTTCTGTTTGTGTTTGTATATTTATTAAATACTTATAATATTTTATTGTATTAATATTATACAAAATTGAATTAACTTTTTTAATGATTTAGTTCACTTCCATCAGTGACAAATTTGTTAAATTATGATTATTTTTTATTATTCGGTTAAAATACTGCTGAAATTCCATTGTACATATTGCTAATGCCATTTATATTTTTATATATAATTTTATTCATCAAAATTGAAAAAAAAAAAAAAAAACGGGAAGCAGCAAAATTTTTTTTGAGTCAGAATATATTCACACAGTTATTTTAAACTGAAAAAATATTTCACAATATTAGTGTATTTACTGAATTTCTGATAAAATAAATGCAACCAACAAACCTTTGTTTCCAAACTTGCATGTTTTAAATGATCATATGCTATTTAATAAATAATTATTAAGGTTGACAGCTTACCATGTGTTCTACTGATTTATTTTAAATTAGCTTCAGTTTATCAGCACAATAAAAGCAGACCAAATAGTAATTTCAATAATCTTCAAGACATGTGAAATAGCCTTTCTTTCTCTGACATATAGATTGCTGTAATGAGCGTGCATTTGTGTAATCATCGTGAATCATTTGAGTTATTGAGCATGTTGCAATTTCCCCCTGTTCTCGTTTTCTTAAATCCATAATGATTGTCGTGTTCTACGCAGAACTCTTAAGGACGTGCTTTTATTGAGCATTCAGGTCACCGGTATTGTGAATTTCATTATCTCAGACTTTCTAAGTGTTTCTATTAGCCATTACTCCTCATTGAATTGCACTGGAGGAGATTTAATCGCAGATTAACGATGATTCTGATACACTTGGGCAACATTGTGTTCTTCTAATCGCACACAGAATCTTATTTCAGAGGGAAGGATATTTGTTTGTTTCTTTTCTGAACCCAAATACCTTTTTTGTCTCATACACATACAGTCAGGTCCATAAGTATTGGGACATCGACACAATTCTAACATTTTCAGCTCTTTACGCCAACACAATGTATTTAACTGCGGACTGTCAGCTTTATTTTAAAGGTATTGGTACATCCAAATCAGATGAATTGTGTAGGAATTACAACAGTTTGCAAATGTGCCTTATGATTATTCTCTTCCATTAATTTTGGTCCTTTAACAAGTGGGAGGCGCATATGCAAATTGTTGTAATTCCTACAGTTAAAGCACATCTGGTTCGTTTAATTTCAAATCCATTTTTTATAGAACCAAAAATGTTAGAATTGTGTCAATGTCCCAATATTTATGGACCTGACTGTATATTGTTTATATTGTTTAAGAGGACACTCCATAAAAACACTTATTATATGGCCTCACCCTTCCCTTAAACCTAAGTTTTGACAATCAAAAGATCACATCAAGTTTGATTAAGCGTTTTGAATTATGAGGACATAAACCATGTCCTCGTAAACCACCCTAATGGAGTATCAACCAGTGTCATTATAAAATGATCATGACATGATATGGAATTTAGTGTTCTTGTAAACCACAAAAACTTGTTCTCACCCACTCAATAAATTAAGTTTGCTTTGTCCAAACTACTTATTTGAAATGAGTTAAACAACATAGTTGTGTTTTAGTGGGGGCAAATCAATTGTTTAATGTTCAGTTTACTTAATTATGTAAAAAACTAATAAGTTTGCAAATTGATTGTGTGGTACCCAGCTAACTTTATGAGGACTTCCCATAGGCAAAATGGTTTTCATACTGTACATACTGTATATTTTATCTCCCTACATCTAAACCCCACCCTCTCAGGAAACAATCTGCATTTCTACTCTCTGAAAAAGCATATTTCTATGTGATTTATGAGTCATTTTTCTCATGGGGACAAGGTCAAAATTTACTGGTATTGCTAGACTTATGGGGACATTTTGTCTTGAGGAATACAAGGCACACACACATACATATTGTCTTAGCAAGAAAAAGGAATTCAAATGAATAATCCACATTGTCCATTTCACATTACCCGTTTTTATACCTTTTGTTCCTCTCCCACCTGTCATCACATTGCCTCTCGCCTGTCACCGCTATCTTTTCTAGTTCCTCTCCATTGGTTCATTTTCCCCAAGTCTATACCAACCTCTGCTTTTTTGTGAGTGCAGGTCCAGAATTGATTGCCTCACATTTCAGCAAGTGTTCTCCACCGGGAAACAAAATATCCCCTCATTTATCTCCACCGCAAGCTGCAGTGGCACTCGGCGAGTGAGCAGCCGCCTTATAAACACCCTGTAGCCGAAAGCACAACATCACTATAAATATTCGCCAGCTTCAATTCTTTCTCTCTCTCTCTTTCTCTCTCTCCCTCTCTCTTTCTCTCTCTCTCTCTCTCCCTGTCATACTGCATCACCAGCAGCCACGAGTAAAGGCTTTCACTGTAAATAAGATGGCAGCGGCAGAGGCATTGTAAATTGTCTTCTCAAGGTTAAGTCTGAGTGCTTTATCTAGATCTGTTCATTGTATTCTGTGCAGATGTAAGGAGATGCTCTTGAAGTGTAACACTCTAAAGAATACTGTGCTGTTTTAAGAAATTTGAGGACACAAATATGGTCTCGGCCAAATGTTGGGTTACAAATGTGATACCACTTTCATTTGAGGACCAAATTCTCACTGGCTCTTTGTAGCATATTACTACCATATGTGACGCTGGACCATAAATTCATGAGTTGGTCAAGTGTGTACTATATTTTGAAGTTGGAAATTTAAAATGTATACATGACCTGAAAGCTGTTTGAATAAGCTTTACAATAATGTATATGTTTTTTTTAGGCTATGATATTATTTGGCTGTGACAAAACTGTTAAAAATCTGTTATCAGAGGGTTCAAATTATATAAATACAGAGAAAATTGTGTTTAAAGTTGTCCAAATGATGTGCTTATCAATATACATTACTAATCAAAGTTTTTCATATTTTTATAGTTGGAAATTTGCAAAATACCCTTATGGAACAGGATCTTTTGTAATGATTTTTGGCATAAAAGAAACTATTTTAACCCATATAATGTATTTTTAACAATTTATGCAAATATACATGTGCATTATATAAACTCACCGGCCACTTTATTAGGTACACATTGCTAGTATCGGGTTGGACCCCCTTTTGCCTTCAGAACTGCCTTCACGGCATAGATTCAACAAGGGACTGGAAATATTCCCAGGTTTTGGTCCATATTGAAATGATAGCATCACACAGTTGCCGCAGATTTGTCGGCTGCACATACATGATGTAAATCTCCCGTTTCACCACATCCCAGTAGTGCTCTATTGGATTGCTCTATTGAATTGAGTACAGTGAACTCATTGTCATGTTCAAGAAACCAGTCTGAGATGATTTGCACATTATGACGCATTTCCTATTCTTAGCCGACAGTTGTGTCACTCAGTGGGGTCTTCTGTTGCTGTTGCCCATCCTCCTAAAGGTTAGATGTGTTGTGTGTTTAGAGATGCTCTTCTGCATACCTCGGTTGAAACGAGTTGCCTTTCTATCAGCTCAAACCAGTCTGGCCATTCTCCTCTGACCTCTGGCATCAACAAGGTATTTGCATTCACAGAACTGCTGCTTACCTGTATATTTTCGGACCATTCTCTGTAAACCCTAGAGATGGTTGTGCGTGAAAATCCCAGTAGATCAGCAGTTTCTGAAATACTCAGACAAGCCCGTTTGTCACCAACAACTATGCCATGTTGAAAGTCACTTAAATTGCCTTTCTTCCCCATTCTGATGCTCAGTTTGAACTGCAGCAGAACGTCTTGACCATGTGTACATGTCTAAATTGAGTTGCTGCCATGTAATTGGCTGATTAGAAATTTGCGTTTCCTAGCAGTTGGACAGGTGTACCTAATAAAAAGGCCGGTGAGTGTATAAGACTTAATATGGGTCACATATGACTGTTTATTGACCAACACCCTTTCTAACTATAATAAGCAGCAAATGAGAAGTTCATGGAAGCAAAGTATGTTGTTATTTAATAGTGAGAATGGGTCGTGACCAAATATGGTATTGAAAATTTTAACCCAACAGCTGAGTTGGCCCATTTTTGACACAGAATTGGGTTGGCTTTTTAAATATGCATTGTGATTTTATTACTTGTTATATTTCTGTGCGTTTTAATTGTTTCAGTGCCTCCAACGGAAGGCACATGGGTAGCCTGATGGCCTCTAACTGCATTATGCTCCACATAATTTTGATTATAATATCTCTGTCTTAGTCACTGCTGCATATCACTGTTTGACCATATTAGGCTGTCCGCCTACATTTTTCAGACATCCATGTGCCTAAACAGTCATATGATATATTTCACTTGTGATCTGGAGGGCAGCATGACAAAAATTACGGTTGAGAGACTTGCATAATGGCCTTTAGCAGAGGGCAGTTTCTCTCTGTAGAAAGCAATGAACACTTTATACATGCCCCGTTTAGGCTGCAACAATAGCTGTTAGCTTTCATTGTGATGCAGAAGACACAGCTCTTCCTCTTGACCAGATTAAATTGGATGTTTTTTACCAAGATGGTGGATTCTGTCAAGGACGTTGAGCTTATCTTGCAAAAACTGGGAATTTTCTATTTATATTCAAGTCATTGAAGGGTAATAAATTTAGGGCTCAATTATTGTAATGCCCTTTTGGCTGAATGCCTCAGTGTCTTGATAGATAGAATGACGCTTATTTAAAACACTGCAGACGGAATGGTCTAATCACTCAGTATTATCCCAATCTATTATTACCAGATATGAAGGTGAAAAGCTGCATTGTTAATTATGATTAGATGATCTCTTTTTTGTAGGATTTTAAATAGATTGTGTAGATAGTTTTTTTTTCTTTTCTTCTTGTCTTTAATTTTATACAGACAGATATTCTTGAGTTTAATCATTTATCTAAAAACAAATTATTTGTGATGACTAATAAATCAATATTTTATTTTACATTTTTAGTGATGATTGTTTAAATATTGTATAATTAAATTGATGTATTCTTGTGATTTATTATATATATATATATATATATATATATATATATATATATATATATATATATATATATATATATATATATATATATATGTTATTAACTACATCATAAATCAAATATTCTGTGAAACAATTTATTAATTATTTGAAATATATGGTTTAAATCCATTTGGATTTTAACGATTGCAGATAATGCAAATTTAATTAAATTTTTAAGATTGTGTTATAATTTTAATGTTAAGTAATGTTATAAACAAAGGTCCTGTTTTCTCATCCATCCATCCATCCATCCATCCATCCATCTATCCATGTCTTCTTCTTTCCATTCCTCAATTTTTATATCCATTCCCTTCACCTCTCCATCGTTTCATTGTATTGCAGTCTTTTCTATAAATCAAAGAATTTATTATATTATTTTTACTTACTTTACCTCAGACATTTCTTTTGTATCTAGCTTGGATATATCCATGTTTGTTCCACCAGAGTAATTCATCAAGGACTGAAAAGTGTAGGCAGCAACCAACCAACCCTGGAGCTAAACTTGTCCACACAGGCGCGAGCGCGCGCTCACGCTCACTCGCTGACGCGCACGCGCAATGTTTGATTACTGTAACGACCCAATGTGCGCCAAGTGAACGGCGGACAGACACTACGGTGAAGAGGCTCGTCTCGCTAAACATGAAAGCGCCGGTAATAATCTCATCCTTCTCGGTTTAAGATGGACCCGTTTCTCAGCCATTTCACCGGACAGCGTCACATACTTTAAGCTGAAGTGAGTACTTTAAGATACGACTAACTCAGAGAGCGGATTATGAGGCGTCGTTTAACTGCAGTTTATTCACTTGCTTGTTACTAGACATGTACAAGTTTTATTAGTGTTTTATCTTCTCCACAGCTGTAGACACACGATGGAGTTGGTCGAGTTGTCTTACGTCCAACAGATGTTCAACGACTCGCGTTTTCAGGGGAATTTAAGTGCACTAGATGAAGTGGACGAGCCTCTACCTAGAAGCGCAAAGATCACCATCGTTGTTGTCTACTTGATAGTGTGCGTGGTGGGGCTCGTGGGGAACTGTCTGGTCATGTATGTAATTATCAGGTGAGATGAAGTGTTCGAGTCAAGCATGTTAATTGTGTGTGTGTGTATTTGTCTATAGGGAGAAGTCAATGGTGAAACTGGTGAAGAACCCTTTTAATGCAGTGGCTAACACGTAATGACTTGGGTAAAATAAGTATTAAACATGTTACCATTTTTCTTAGAAAACTAATTTTTAAAAGTGCGGTTGACTTGAAATGTTTATCAAATAGCCAGATAAATCAATTTGCAAATAAAAAGAAATGACAGGGGAAAATGATTAAACACATGAAGAAATGGAGGTGTAGAAATTGGATAGACAAGACCGACAGAACCATCAAGATTTTCACACTGTTGAAGTCAGTGAAAAGCTCACACCTAAGCAACTCATGTGACTACATTCTCCATAGAGGCGTCTTTAAGCTGCCATCACCTAAAACAAAACCTTCTATATAAAGTATTAAGTACATTTCAGTAATTCAGTACTTTCTCCTTGTGTCATTCCATTTGTATTACTCATAACATTTTTTTCTCACTTTTATTTATTTATTTTTTCTTGTTTCATTTTATTATTCTGTCTGAATTATTTGGGTTTTTACCAAAACCTGGTTTAAATCCATGTCAACAGCTCCTTTAGAAATATTATTCCCTGGAAAAAACTGGATGTGTTCAATACTTATTTCCCCACTGTATAGTTTTTATGGATGTCAAAGACTACCAGGTTCCAACATTCTTCCAAAACATTTTCACTTTTTGGCATTAATGTTCCCTTTAACCCCATAGTGCCTGATATACAAAACAATAGCAAGTAAAATCTAATCTTATGTCGAGTATGTTACTAGAAACATCTTGCTTTATTGACCTATATATATGAACTGTGAGAGTATGAAGCTTACAGCTGAAAAGGGAAAAAACACTTCACATTTATATGCAATTTTGTTCAGAAACTAATTATTATTATTTTTTTAAAATATATATTATTATTATAAGCTGTTATTAATTTACCCTAACTTTAAGATAAAATGTAGAATTTTAAGAGAGATTTTTGTAGCAGCAAATAACAGGGTAATAAAATACAAATGCATTACTTTATATCTAAATAAATACTTTTACTAATTTTGTGATCGGTGTTCTGCAGTTGTAGTTCAAAGCATATTTAATTTTACAATAGTGAATGAAGGACAAATAAAATATTCTTAAAATCCTCTTTTATCAAAGTTTATATATTATTATACAAGATGTCATTTATGTTTATAATGTACTATAAACGTAGTAAAACAGGAAAAAGCCACGAGGAGGATTGTGAACACTTTTCCTTTCTCTGCATAGTTTTAATCACATTGAAAGACAGCTCGCTTTAATCAGGGTTTAACTTAGCATCATATGTTATTTGTTATCTGTCTTGTTAATATCATGGGCCATTATTTAAAAAAAATGGTTTTCATGATATGATTTTTTGATTAGCAATCAAAAAGCCAGCAAACAGAATGTTTTGTTAACATCAATTAACGTATCCCATTTAATAATAATCAAAATAATTAATTCTGGAAATTTATTTAGTTTCAGGTTTTTTATGTTTGGAGGTTCAGAACTGAATTTGTTTGAACGTTTTCTTGAATAGAAATATCGTAAATATAGACAGAAATTCCTTTAAAACAAACAACATATAAAATCTGGATCTGTTCTAATATGCAGTCTTGCAATTTATGTTAGCATTTGTATAATTTAGAATGTGTTTTTTTTTTTTTTTTTTTAACCAAAATACAACTAAACATTTTGATTTTAAAACATTTAGGGTCAGTTTTTTTTTCCATGTTTTTTTTTTAAAGAAAATTATTCTGTTAATTTAATAAATGAAAAAAATATATATATTTATTAACATTTTAAATAACTGCTTTCCTATTTTATGTAGTTTCAAATAAAATTATTACTCCAGTCATTACTGGTGGAACAAATATAATTTATATTAGAGGGATAATGAAGCTGAAATTTAATCTTTAAAATTACTGGAATAAATTATTAAATAAATGGTAAACTACTTTTGAACAGTTATATTATAGTGCAATCAGAAATTTTCACAATTTTACAATTTGTAATGTGTTTTTGATTAAATAAATGCTGCCTTGGTGAGCAAGAGAAGCTTATTTTAAAACATTTAAAAATCCCACTGAACCCAAACTTTTTACCGGTAGTGTAAGTGTTTTCTCTCTCCATTTAAAACTTTTGTTATGCTAACTATACTCAAGCAAATGGATTTAGATTAATAAAAATAAGATTAAGAGGAATCAAGTATCATACAATACATATTTTCTGATGCACTTGATAAAATCATAATTTTTTTATTGGTTGTTAAACTTTTTAGTAAAGGTTTTAACATTGTGATGATCCAACTGATTAATTTATTTTATCTTTTATTTTAAAAAATATTATTTAAATAATATTTTAAGTAGCCGATTAATCATATGAATAAAATATTTTTATAGGATTAATTGATTATTGATTGAGATACATTGAGATATATGATTCCATATACAGCTGAAGTCAGAATTATTAGCCCCCGTTTGAATTTAATTAATTTTTTCAAATATTTCATAAATTATTAACAAGACATTTTTACAGTATGTCTGATAATATTTTTTTCTTATGGAGAAAGTCTTATTTGTTTTATTTCAGCTAGAATAAAAGCAGTTTTTAATTTTTAAAAATCATTTTAAGGTCAAAATTTAAGCCTTTAAATGTCACTTTAAGCTGAATGGAGGTGTGTTGAAAATTATCTAGTCAAATATTATTTACTGTCATCATGGCAAAGATAAAATAAATCAGTTATTAGAAATGAGTTATTAAAACTATTATTATTAGAAATGTGTTGAAAAATCTGCTCTGCGTTAAACTCAAGTTCTGACTTCAACTGTATGTTTAATTTTTTTTCTTATTGTTATATTTCATTTATTTAATATCAATAATTAAATATTGGTTTAAGTAATTAACCAGTTTGATTAAATTCTTTGTGATATTAAATGTCATGACATGCAACATATTTTGTGGCGATTGTTATGCAGCAGTCAACTCCTACCCTATAGTTAAAAACTCTACATTATCACAGTAAAATATTTGCTCGACCCAACACTATTTTCTTCTTTCTGTTGCTTGCTCATCCATCGTAGCAGTTGTCCTGCCAGCGTTGTGTCACACGCCTGCTTGTTCATTACATTGCTAGATAAACATTTGGTACTTGTCCAAACCTCCCTGGCGTGAAACAGCTGTAGATGGAGGCCAAGACACAGCTTTTCCATCAGCACAGAAAGAATTCACATTAACAGAAGGCACAATGAGGGTTACAATCATTAAACGCTTTTAGCCCTTGCCGAGCTTTAATTTATGCAGGGAATTAAGTTTTATTGCGGAGAGAAAATGCATGTGATTTACCAACTTGCACTTTTCGCCTGATTGTATATGCTTTAACATCACAAGCACAGCCATGTAGTCATTTTGTCTCGCCCTGTATTGTTGAAGGTATAATTATGAAGGAATGTCATGCTGATCGAATGTTCAAGGAAAAGTGCCTCATAATTAGGAGTCAGAAATAGATTTGCTGCATCATCTCATGCTTTTAAGGATAAGAGCTACTTGTTTAGACGTAGTTTGTTCACACTTTTGGTGTTTATATATGAAGGAAAGGCAACGCATCCTTGTCTTTATGCTCTGTTATGTGTGCATTCATGCATTCGCGTATATTGTCATTACTCAAGACGTGCTCATATATAGTCCTTTGGGCCTATTTTAAAACCTGTTGCTAGGCTGGTTACTAAGCAGCGCCTGCCATTTCTTTACTCAGATCGCAGCATGTTGTCTGTCTACCTCTAGAGGATTTTGAACAATTTCACCACATCACTGTGACCGTCTCTTTGTGGATAATAAAGAAAGAATAGTTTATTTCTTTACTTTTAGACTGAGTGTTTGAAGGTTGCACTAGCTGTGATTCTGATACAACTTGAAGATTCATATTTATGAAGTCACTGCCATTTGCTTTCTTGCTCGTCCTTGTTGTAGTCAATAAGTCATGTCATCTAGCAGGACATTTAAAATAATGGCTGAAGATCAATATATGATAATAGCGTGCTAAGGTTAAAGGGGCTTTGCAGGAGTTACTAATGCAGTCCAAAGCTAGAATGCATTATGCACGTGGCAATATTTTCACCATAATAATAAACAGATTTTAATGTTTAGATAATAAATAATTGTGTACAATAAGTTAAAAGGCATATTCATATGTATATGTATACATGTACATTGTGACATTTATATAAATGAATTATGAAAAAACAGCTATACAGTGCTCAGCATAATTGAGAACAGCCCATTTTGAAAATTAATATTTTTATCAATTTCCCAGTGAATATAGGCAATGTATTTTGGGTCATTAAAACAAAATAGATTTATTAAACAGACATATTTATTACAATAATATTTTAATATTATTTTAATTATTATTTAATATAATATTTTAATAAATATCACTTTAATGGTCCTTTTAACGCATTTTGTTGAATTTAATTTACATTCCCTTTACATGCCGACTAATTCTCTTTTAGTCACCAAACATATTTACAAATGGAAAGATAATACAATTAAATTCAAGCAAAATATTGCAAAAATAAAAAATACAACCTACAAAATTTCAACTGAATTTTTTCATTTTTTTTCCTTCTCTTGATTTTTCCTCATTTTTAACTTTGTATTTTATATTTTTCTATAACATATAAATTTGGGTGTACTAGGTTTTGCACCATTATTGTAAGTTATTTAATTAGATAAGCTCCAGATTTAGCTTTACTGACTAATCTAATATAAATGCACAAATATAATATTGTAAAGCTTCCTATCAAAAAATATGAATTTAAAATATAGATTTGTGAAGGGTGTAATTATATATGCAGAGCACTGTACCATTATTAGCCCTCCTGTCAAATTGTAATTTTTTTCAAATATATCTCAAGAAATGTTTAACAGAGCAATGAATATTTTCTCAACATGTTCTATTATTTTTGTTATTCTGTAGAACGTCTTTTTTGTTTTTTGGCTGGAAGGAAAGTTTTTAATTTTACAAATATTTTAAAGGTCAATAATATTTTTATCTGTTAGCTACAGAACTGACAAATGCAGTCTAGTAACATACCTAATTATATATACAGTGCTCAGCATAAATGAGTAACCCCTTACAGATCTTCCTTTTAAATTAATATTTTCTATAGGATGATTTACAGTAATACATTGTTTATATAGATTAGATTAGTCAGCACCAAAACTGGAACTAATATAAAAAGAAAATGAATTAAAATCACTGTCCTAAAATCTGTCCACCCAAATTAAGTTGTTGGGGGAAAATATTTGATAATATTGGAAAAATGAAGAGAAACATTTTTGTAGTTTGAATTTAAAAAAGTTTTCAGTCTCACTTTAATGGTCCTTTTAACGCATTTTGTTGAATTTAATTTACATTCCCTTTACATGCCAACTAATTCTCATTAGATTATAAGTAGACTGTTAGGTTAGTGTTGACGTGCTTGCAAAGGTGCCTATAGTCAGTTAAATGTCTGTTGAAGGAGCAGTATCAACAGATATTAAGCAGACAGTCTAATACTCAAATTAAAAGTTATTGACATGTAGTTGCAGTGCAACTTTTAGTCAACAAAATGTGCAATAAGGACCATCAAAATAAACTGTTACCTATTTTTCTTGCTATAATATTATATAAATAACTATTGCTCAGACAAAAAAAAGTTACAAAATTTTCTTTTTCAAATTTCATCAATAATTTATTGAATAATCAAAACGCACACTCCTGTTTTTATAATATTTATAGTAAATTCAGAGAAACTTTTTTTCAAGTGGTCTTTTAATTTTTTCTCTGCTCACTCACAGTTGAAGGTGAAATTATTAACCCTCCTGAGAGATATTTATTCTATTTCAAACATTCATCAAAGGATATTTAATGGAGCAAGGAAATTTTCACAGTATTTCCTATAATATTTTTTCTTCTGGAGAAAGTCTTATTTAAAACTATTTTAATGTCAACATTTTTAGCCCCCTTAAGCAATATTTTTTCTGATTGTCTACAGAACAAACCACTGTTATACAATGACTTGACCAAGTACCCTAACCTGCCTAAATAACCCAATTAAGCATTTAAGTGTCACTTTAAGCTTAATACCAGTGTCTTAAAAAATATCTAGTCATATATTATGTACTGCACTCAAACAATTATTGTTTTGCTCGTTTAAACTACTTTAAAAGAAATTAGTCATTAAAACTGTTATGGCTTGAAATGTTGGTATTAGGGAAAATATACAGGGGGGCTAATAATTCAGGAGGGCTAACAATTCTGACTTCAACTGTATATTTCTATATTTTCATATACTGTAAATGACAGTATTTTTGCTTTCCAAAGTATTTTGACAAGTTATATTTACACCTGCCGCAGGTACACAAAGATGAAAACGGCCACCAATATTTACATCTTTAACCTGGCTTTGGCTGATGCACTGGTTCTGGCCACTCTTCCTTTCCAAGGCACTGATGTCATCCTAGGTTTCTGGCCCTTCGGTCTGCCCCTGTGCAAGGCTGTGGTAGCCATTGACTATTACAACATGTTCACAAGTGTCTTCACCTTGACCGTAATGAGTGTGGATCGCTACATAGCCGTCTGCCACCCTGTGCGCTCGCTGACAGTTCGGACCCCGCTCCGGGCCAAGCTGATCAATGTGGCGGTGTGGGTGCTGGCATCAGCTGTAGGACTGCCTGCTATGATCATGGGTCAGGTGGAGAAGGATGATCACGATGGTCTGGTCCTCTTTTTTCATGTTGCTCTGTGTTGACCTTCCATTTTAAGGCATGTTTGCTCATCGTGTCCTGTTTTTTTTTTCTCTCTTTTTTTAATCATGCTGTTGGTGGTGTTTTTAGTGTTTTTTTTCGGTTGTGCCTGAAATTATTTTTGACATTTTATTGTGGATTAAAGGTGCACTAAGTGTGTTTTTTTTTAAACAACCTTCCAGGGAAGGTGGACATTTTTGTTCTAAGTAATTTTTATGTAAAATATGAAAGCAAAGTCCACAAAAATGCACTGAAAGAATCACGTCAACCAAATTGGCATTTCAAAAAGCTCATTATTTAATAACACATAACTATTAAAATGTGTATCTAACTTTAATTCTTTAGTCCTAAGAAAATGTTAAGTTTAGAATAAAAAAATTCTTATGCAAGTGAACGGGGCTCAATTAATTCCCCATGACAAATAAGGATCTGCTGTAGTTAAATGAAAAGTTGTTTTAAAAATCAAATAAAAATTTAAAAATTCGATTTAAATATAAATTCTCACATAGGTCCAGGTCTGAAATGTTCATCTTTGGGTGAATTATACCTTTTATAAAAATATGAAATGTGTTAGAATTCAAGCAAAACTTTGTATGCAAAACAACAATCACTTTGTAAAATGCAAAAACATATTCAGAATGTTAGTTCAAGTAATAATGATTAGTCCAGTACAGGCATGTAATGTAACAGTATATTTATATTTCAAATAAATATTGTTTATATTTATACTGGAATAAAGTATCAGGTTTTCCACCAAAAATATTAATATTAATAAATACTGCCTAGGTGAGCCTTTATCAAAAACAATAAGTAGAAGTGATGTATTGGCCAACTCATTTAAAGATATCTGTATAAAAGACTGGTATTGATGTTTAGTAATTACATGGACGCAATGTGTTGCATGTCCTATGAATAATCTCACAAAAAACTTTTTTCATAAAAATCGTTAAATACTTGCAAAAACAAACAAAATCTGTACAGATTGGGCTAATCTGGAGCAGCAAGACATAATTTTATATATAGCAAAAACACTGGCTTTATTTTTGAAGTTTAATTCATAATTATGTTCCTTTATTTGTCAAGTAAAAGTTTATGATGTTAAAAGAAATGTTGAGGCACGCAGTAGGTAGTGCTGTCGCCTCACAGCAAGAAGGTTGCTGGGTCGCTGGTTCGATCCTCGGCTCAGTTGGCATTTCTGTGTGGAGTTTGCATGTTCTCCCTGCGTTCGCGTGGGATTCCTCCCGGTGCTCCGGTTTCCCCCACAGTCCAAAGACATGTGGTACAGGTGAATTGGGTAGGCTAAATTGCCCGTAGTGTATAAGTGTATGTGTATGTGTGTGTGTGTGTGTTTGTGTGTGTGTGTGTGTGGATGTGTGTGTGTGTGTGTGGATGTTTCCCAGAGAGGGGTTGCAGCTGGGAGGGCATCCACTGCGTAAAAATGTGCTGGATAAGTTGGTGGTTCATTCGGCTGTGACAACCCAGGATTAATAAAGTGACTAAGCCAACAAGAAAATGAATGAATGAATGAAAGAAATGTTGATTAGCAAAAAATATTGGACAATTAATTCAATCCATATTCAGTAAATTTAATCTATTGGAGAGGAAAAATCCAGTACTGTATGCAATTCTCCAAAATTGTTATCAGAATTGGTCGAAGTTTATTTTTGAACTAATTTCGAGAGGAGCACATGCTTATGATTGACCGTGGCTGGTCCTGCATTAGCTAATGCATGATTCACCAATCAAATGATTCCTAACTCACTAACCAGAGTTTCTTTCTTCAGTTATCTTCTCCTTGAAGAATCCCCCCTTCCACTCCTCCTTCTTTCCCTTTATAGGGTGGTACGGTGACTTAGTGGTTAGCACTGTTACCCCACAACAAGAATGTCACTGGTTCAGGTCCTTAACAGGCCAGTTGGCGTTTCTGTGTGGAGTTTGCATGTTCTTCCAGTGGTTGTGTGACTTTCCCTCAGGTCCTCCTGTTTCCTCCAACACTCCAAAGACATGCATCATAAGTGAATGGATCAATCTAATTTGGCACTACAGTTGAGCTCTTAACCAGCACTATATCATATATGCTGTATATGCAATTATATTAGTATGCAGTATATCAGTATGCAATTTATAAGTTAGTGCGTCGACACATAGCATCGAGGTGATCGCAGCGACCAGAGTTTGATTCCCGTCTCGAGGTCCTTTGCTGATCCTTCCCCTATCTCTGCTCCCCACACTTTCCTGTCTCTATATCTCCACTGTCCTATCAATAAAGGTGAAAACCCCTAAAAAATAATTATAAAAAAAAAAGAAAAAAAAAAGAGGGCAGATCTTGAGACCAACCTGGACAGCATGCCAAACTCGCTTTTTAATCAATCATCAGCTTAGTGTGAACACTTGAAAGTTCTTTTTGTTTGTTGCCACTGTGTTAAAAAAATCCTTGTGGTGCATCTCTAATAATAATAATAATATAAATTAAATAAAAAACCCTCAGACCCTAAAAATCAATTTGTCGAAAGTACAGTTTCGAAGAACTTTCTTAGCAGAACAACATACATTTGTGCACTTTTAAATCACAGCCTCTTGTGTTCCCTTCAAAAGACTCTCCATTTCTTTACTCATCACAATTCATCGTATATCACAGCCACTACGTGAAATCCCCTTTTTTAATGTGTTTTTTTCCATGCAGGTGCCGAGTGCATGGTGAGCCTGCCTGAACCAAGAAAGCACTGGGATCGTGTGTTCATGATGTGTGTGTTTCTCTTCTCTTTCTTGATCCCTGTGCTGATCATAAGCGTCTGCTACGGCCTGATGGTGCGTCGTTTGCGCAGTGTCCGTGTACTGTCCGGCTCACGGGAAAAAGACCGCAATCTGAGGAGAATCACCTATATGGTATTGTCGGTGGTGGCCGCTTTTGTGTTTTGCTGGATGCCGGTGCAGGTCTTGGCTTTGATTCAGGCTCTGGGTCATGTGGAACTCGGGGCCAGTCAGTCCTCGATGGCGGCTATGCATTTCTGCATTGCTTTGGGTTACGCAAACAGCTGTTTAAACCCCGTTCTCTATGCCTTCCTGGATGAAAACTTCAAGCGCTGTTTCCATGAGTTTTGTATCCCGGCCAATTCCGATCTCTTTCTAGAAGACCAGCGTAAGAGGTCATTGAGGCAGGGGAGAGAATGTGCTGAGCTGGAGGAAAAGGAGGTGGTGATTTATCATTGCGCTGCTCCTGTGTTAGCGGATTAGAGCTTTTAGAATTGCCAATGTTCTTGTATGGTCACGTCTGGAATTGTGAGGAAAGTTACCACTAGCATAGAGTTAATGCATGTTGTTCTGGTTAAAAGTAACCAGATGATATCAACCCAGACTTATTATGAAAATGAAGCCCTATATACATTTCTGGAGAGCTCTCCTATACATCCCAGGCGGTACTTTTTTATGTTTTTGTATTTATGAATCCACCAGAGGCTGCTGTGTACGTTTTTTGAGATCTCAAATTTCTCTTGTGAGTGCCATTCACGCCTTCTCACGTAAATCCACCAGAAGCCACTGACTGATTGACCGACTGACCGACCGACCAACCCTCCCACCCACCCACCCACTTTCATAAACCCAACTGACAGTGTTTTGGAAAGCAATCCAGAAAAAGAAAAGCCCTCGCCAGATTTTTACCTCATTTTCAGATTGTACCACATTCTCACCCTGTTATTTACTTGTTTGTTTTATTTTTTTGCTTCTGTTTTTGTCTTACCTGCTTTCTTGAATCATTTTTTGCTGGACTCGAACCCTATTGTCGCGGTCAAATCCTCTGCGTCTCAAGTCTAAATATATGATGCGATCCACTGGACAACAGCAGGAAAGCTGTACATACAGAGGTAAGCAGTCAGCTGCTAGCACGAAACGGAAAGGCGTTATACCGTTACATAGCGTTCGTTTTAAGGACGAAATGCAGCCATACGTATTTCTGGCTACATAATTCTGGATCTCCAGAAATGTATATAGGGCTACGTTTTCAGAATGAGCCTCTGTTGGATAATATGTTTCGTATCAAAATTCTAAATATGAATATACAAGAGCATTGTTTAAATGGGGAAAAAAGGGGCTCTTCCTCCTTTGTTTTTGCACCTTGTGGATTACTTGACATTGTTTGTTGTAGTCTTTATTTGATTAAATTATAAATTCACTGCATTATGTTTGTTAAGAATTACTTCAGTCCCAGCAGGCACAGGGCGTCAACATGATGTCAGATCTAGAAATAAAAATCGGGTTGACGTCAGAACCCAATTTCAGAACAACGTCAGTGACTATGTGTACATGAACACCAAGAATCCGACAATACTCTGATTATGAGTCTATCATGTAAACAGCAGTTTTTGATTACCTTAATCCAACTAGAGTCATAATCATATTAACAGTAATCAAATTAAGACGTGAAGTATGCAGATTTTAGTCGCATTATTGAAGTGCAGTACAGACATTTAAACACCTTAATCAATCTATTACCGTTTACTATTATCAGACATTAGATTTTGGTTGAATAAACGTCAGTATTTGGTGTCAATATGATGTCACTTAAGATGTTGACTCGACGTTGCATTTTGCTTATTTTCCAACACAATATTGAACTTTGGTCACCTAACACCACAACCTAAATCTAACCTTATATTAACATTTTATGACATTGTGTGCCTGCTGGGTGTTTTAATTACCTTTTCTAAACATTCTTTTGGTACACTTGTGTTTGGAGCAGCATGTGCAAAATGTTTGAAGATTTATTTTTGTATCAGCTGTACAAGAATGTATGTATTTATATATAACTACACTGTAAACAAAATATCCGCAAGTTAGCAATTTTCCATATTTTGGGATTAATGTTTTGTTTCGTCTTATATGCTTTAGAATTGCTTTATGTGACCTTTATCTTTTCTGCAACAACCTTTGGTGTTGAAAAGTTTGAAAAAAGTGACTTTTTTAATAGTTTGAAGGTATATATTGTCTGTGTTAGTGTTTATCATTGTAAATAATGCCACAAAAACCTAACCGGAGAGTACTTTTTCTGTTATTTCATGGACTTTTTTCTATATATATTTTATTTCTTATACAATATATTGTTTCAAACTACTAAAAGTTGAATTTTGAACATCAAAAGTGGACAGATCAAAGGTCAAGGTCCCATAATGCAATTCATAACAAAAAAAAAAAAAGGAAAACAAATACAGAATGGATATTTTTTAAAATGTGTATTAATTAGCGTAATACATATTTCTGTAGTAATATATAAACTATTTTTTTTAAATGAATAAAACCTTTGGTGTAATACAAAAAATATATTCCGCAACCACACATATTTAAATATATAATTGTAGACAATATTACACTATATATAAGTTAATGTATGTACAATACATGACAGCATATACACAGTAATAAAAGATTCTTGTTTTTAAAAAAGTAATACTTTCACTTGGCTAGGTTGCAATCACCTATGTAAATCAATGGATGTGCAATTACTTAAAGTGAAAGATGTCATTTTAGAAGACATCAACTATTATCAAAACTAAATGAATACATAAAAAATAAATTAATTATGTTTTTTTCAAATAAACAAGAATTTCTTTACATTTTGAACAAGTAGTGATGTTTTTAATAATTAGTAAATGCTTAAAAATAATAATAACAGTAATAAAAGTAAAATATTTTCAGATTATTTTGGTGGCTTGAGAAAGCCAACATACTGTTTTACTACATAAACAATATTTTTCCGTCTTCTTCTTCTTAGATATTTTAGGAACGCATCTCCTCTTAGACTGTTCATACTACAACCACCAAACTAACTAAAACCTCCAAACTGTACTGAATTAAGTTGTTATATCTTTTCCAACTAATCAGACTTACAGTTTTCCGAAAACTGACCTGGAAAATTCAGAAAAGTCCCACTGACTTAACACTGGACCAAACTTTGTGACCTATTAACTTTGCGCCAGACTGTCATACAGACTTAAGGTTGAGCTCATTTAACTTAAACTACCAATCTGTCAATCACTGATGACCTTTCAACACCCTAGCAACCACTTACGGCACCCTAGCTACTGTCCCATAGACTCCCATTGTAAAAAAATGCCATTGACTTTACATTGGAAACCAACAACATACCAATCCATGCTAACAAAATACTCATCCCTACTAGAAACATACTAACAAACATACGTCATACCAGCAGTATACTAATCCATACTAGAAACATGTTAATTCATCCCTGCTGAAAAATCCAGCTCAAACCAGCTTAGGCTGGTTGGCTGGTTTTAGCTGGTCGACCAGGCTGGTTTTAGAGGGGTTTTGGCCATTTCCAGGCTGGTTTCCAGCTATTTCCAGCCTGGTCTTAGCTGGTCAGGCTGGAAAATGACCAGCCAAATCCAGCTAAAACCAGCTTGACCAGCCTGGTTTAAGCTGGATATAGCTGGTTTTGGCTGGACTCCCAGCTTGGCTAGGCTGGTCAAGCTGTTTTTAGCTGGTCATCTCCCAGCCCGAAAAGCTAAGACCAAGCTGGAAATGGCTGGAAACCAGCCTGGAAGTGGCCAAAACCCCTCTAAAACCAGTCTGGTCGACCAGCTAAAACCAGCCAACCAGCCTAAGCTGGTTTAGGCTGGATTTTTCAGCAGGGATACTATAAGCATACTAGCAACATGCTATTTTATACTAAATTCATGCTTACAACATGCTAGTTTAAACTAGAAACATGCTAGCAACATGCTAATTCATACTAGAAACATGCTAGCAAAATGGTAATTTATACTAGAACCATGCTAATTTATGTTAGCAAGTGCCTAGCAAATACTCAGAACAACCTAGCAACTACCTAGCAACACCTTAGCAACCACTCAGAACACCCTAGCAACACCTTAGCAACCACTCAGAGCCCCCTATCAGCCGCCTAGCAAGGAACATGCCAATCCATACTAGAAACTTGCTAACCTATTTGTAGCTATCTCTCTATGCCAACTGTTTCAAATTTCCTAAAAACCTCTTCAAACTTTCGGGCGAGGCTTTCTCAAGCTGCCATAAAGTTTGTCTATAAACTTTGCTTTTCTAGTTGGAAAGTGTAACTTTTCACAGTATTAATCAAATATACACTGACCTGGTGAGCAGAATTAACTTCTTTCATTTTTTTTATTATCAAGAAGAAGAGAGTATAGCATCATTTATCTGTCAAGATTTGAATATTTAGTGATTGAGATAAAGTACGTATGTGCCTGCATCTAATTATGAGCCATTTATATCCACCTGACTGGTTTGACATTGATTCAGAGTGACAGGTTAGTGCAAATGAACAAAAGAATCTTCTCTACAAATGTTTACAGACAGGTGAGGATTCAGAGGCTGTTGATTGCTTTGTCTCCTCAGTTTCTTTTATGGTGGGATTGAGAGCTTGTTTCCTTGATCTTGGCCGGTTTACAAGGAACTTGCCGGAGCGAAGGATCCTAGAAACATCTGTTTTGTCTGTGTGGTGTTAAGTGCTTTCCAGATGGTGTTCTGATGCTTAATATCTGCTCCGTATGCCATGCTTCAGCTCGTCCCACTTTAGAATTTAAACTGCATTTTAATCAAACTCTTGACTGAAGGGATTTAAAGAATATACAGAATGTATAAATTAGCTTTATACAGTGAATCTGGAAAGTATTTATAGCGCTTCACTTTTTCCGCATTTTTTAAATGTCACAGCCTTATTCCAAAAATAGATTAAATTCATTTATTTCCTCAAAATTCTGCCCACAATACCCCATAATGACAATAAGATTTTTTTAAATTGTTGCAAATGTATTAAAAATAAAAAATCTGAAAATGTACAGAAGTATTCACAGCCTTTGCTCAATACTTTGTTGATGCACCTTTGGCAGCAATTACAGCCTCAAGTCTTTTTGAATATGATGCCACAAGCTTGGCACACCTGTCTTTGGGAGTTTTTGCCCATTCCTCTTTGCAGTACCTCTCAAGCTCTATCAGGTTGAATGGGAAGTGATGATGTACAGTCATTTTCAGATCTCTAGAGATGTTCAATAGGATTTAGGTCTGGACTCTGGCTTGGCCACTCAAGGACATTCACCGAGTTGTTGTAAAGTCACTCCGCTGATATTTTGGCAGTGTGCTTTGGGTCATTGTCCTGCTGGAAGATGAACTGTCGCCCCAGTCTGAGGTCAAGAGCACTATGAAGCAGGTTTTCATTCAGGATGTCTCTGTACATCGCTGCATTCATCTCTCCCTCTATCCTGACCAGTCTTCCAGTTCCTGCTGCTAAAAAACATCCTCACAGCATGATGCTACCACCACAATGCTTCACTGTAGGGATGATAATAGCCTGGTGATGAGCGGTGCCTGGTTTTCTTTAAACATAATGCCTGGCATTCACTCCAAAGAGTTCAATTTTAGTCTCATCAGACCAGAGAATTTTATTTCTTATGGTCTGAGAGTCCTTCAGATGCCTTTTGGCAAATTCCAGGCGGGGA